TTGAAAGTTTTATCTTTGCAATAAAACACATACTTTAAGCTGGACAAGTTTCAGTTTTACACTGATCTGTAGCTTGAAGAATGATAAAGAAAATGTATATCTCAACTCTCTTTAAGGAAAAAGGGGATTTATTTCCCTTTTAATATCACTGATTCAATTCATAAGCAGACTGAGCACATGATAGAAGGAAAGCCTGTTCAATCCTACAAGTTGTCTTATGATTAGTTTATGCAACATAAATACAAATAGTCCTTTTGACAGTCAAGAGAAAAATGAAATATTTTGGAAATGAAAGGAGAAATATACACATAAAATACTTTTGATTTTCATATGTCATAATAAGTTTAATTTTTTGTGTGTGTACTCAAAGAATGTGGTATTTAAAAGTGTTCAAAGTGTGGTTTTTAAAAGTGTTCATGTAAATGAGATTGAATTTGTAATTCTAACTCTTTATGTCAAAATTTAGGACAAAAAACTTAAGAAAATGGAACACATTGAAGGAAAGGCAGAAATGGGTCGCTTTGGAACAGCTGTAGCTTCTGTTGGAGATTTAGATCATGATGGATTTGCAGGTAATGTTTCTTTAATTATGTTTTAGAACTCTTCTGGGTACCCAACTTTCTCAGCAATTAAAAATGTTTTTGGGTGGATTGACTCCAGAAGACCAATTTTTCATTTTTGTTGTTGTTGTCGTCATTATTGTTGTTGTTATTATTGTTGTTGTTGTTGTTGTTATTATTATTATTATTATATTTATTATTATTATTATTATTATTATTATTATTATTATTATTATTATTATTATAAACAGCAAAGACCACAGTCACAATATTAGCAATGATAGGTATGACAATGACAACTATTAAGCAACCATATCTAATCCTGACCATTTTCTATACATTTGATCCCCAAAACCCATGTGAAATACAAATGGCAAATAAATTTCAATAATACAAATCAGGGTGGCATGTAGTGTTTGCAGTAGAGAATCTGTCATTTTGTCAATATTGTTATCAAATTATGCATTTTTTGTGAAATAATATTATAATTTTGTGGGCAGAGTCAAATTCTCCTGAGATTTTCAGTTAAACTGGGGTGGGTATTATTAGTGCTTCAACTTCTTTATGCAGCTATTAAGATATGCCAGCATGTAATAAGTATCAAATATATCAATTACATCAATCACTTACTTCCCATTGGTAAAATATTTTGAGAACATGCCAAATGTAAACCAAAGGAATATGTCAAATGTATTTACTTGGCTGTCCATGGCAAAGGTGCCGACGTTTCGCCCGCCATTCTGCGGCCTTCCTCAGGGCGTAATGCGGAGAGACTTTTTTTTTTCGGCGAAGGCGAAGGTCGGTGTGGTGTTCGATCGCATTACGATCGTATTGATCAGAGGATACTTGATGGTAATTGCAGTGCACACGACTTTTGCGTTTTACTGCTAGATTTAATGTTTGTGTAGGTTCGCCACGGACCTTAGTCGTTTGCCACTTTGGCGATTTGTTAGATTATATTTGTGACTATGTCATTTTAGAGTGTGTCTCGCATCCCCATTCTTCGCACTTGGCGTTCAGGTCGCCCGCCAGGACCGTGCGAGATGCTAGGGATAGCACTGTGTCAAAATCTCCCTCTATTAGAGGTCTGTTTGGTGCGAGGTATGCAGATACTAGAGCTCCGTCGAGTTCGCCACGATTGCTACAGCTTCGAGGCGCGCCAGGCGGGGACGGGTTGCTAGTCGGTGGGGTATTGAGCGGTGTAGGGCAATCGCGACGCCGCCCCCGCGATGACTACCGTCGCGGTGGATGCGGTAAATTGCCATGTCGCGCAGCTCCATATGAACTGAGCTTTTGAGTTTAGTTTCCTGCAGTAGCAGAACGTCGATGCGATGTTTGTTTCAGCTTCTGGGTCAATAACCCTCATCTCGATCAGTTTTTTTCCAGTTTTCCTCATCCGTTGAGCAAATGCTGAGATAGCCCCTTGTTTTGCTTCTGGACATAAATGTAGCTTCACTAGGTGCACATTTTGTTTAACTTTCCTTTCCCTTGTAGTGGTGGTAGTGGTAAGAGTAGAGCTGGGAGTGAGTTGCTATTCTGTTGGCAATACAGAGGAATCAAATCTGGAGTTCGTTTGCCGATGCAAATAAGCTTTCTATAGTTCATAATTAACAACAAACACGACGACGACGACGACAACAACAACAACAACAACAACAACAACAACAACAATAATAATAATAATAATAATAATAATAATAATAATAATAATAATAATAATAATAATAATAATAATAATAATCCGTGGGAATAATCTGGTCTCCTATCGGACGCGTCTCAGATGGCGGATCGGGGAATGCTCTTATCGGCCACGCCGGAGAGTAGGTGCCAAATAAAATACCACCCGTGGACCAAATCCAGACGTTGGCGGTAGGGTTAAAACGCAAGGAGAAGGTGACCACGAAAAGAAACCCAAGATAGAAGGTCCCTCAGGATTAACTGTTACGGTGCAGGGGATCGGAGCCCCAGTACCGGCAGCCGGGGGTGGGAAAGCAGACCCCCGGCGGTCGGCAATCAGCGACTGCAATCTCAGAGACGGGGACCGCTTGGCGTCTCTGAAATTCTACACTTCGACAAGCGAAAGCCTAGAGTGTGCAGGTTTTGACCCCTTTTCTGGGAGGTCGAATCTGCGGAGATCGCCTCTAAGTACCCCAACCACTCCAGGGATAAGCACGACTGCGGAACGAGATGGCGCGGCAAATCCGCCGCAAACAGCAGTAAATTCGCCGCAAAGTGGACCAGGAAGCCGGTGGGTACCTATGAATGGAATGAAAGCGGATAATCTTGTAGCAAGAAGTAAGGAAACAGCAGCTGACCTCATAATAGAAAAATGGGGAACTATGCAACAATTAGTAGAATCCCAAGGAAAGCTCCTAGATTAATTGAATTAAAGCATAAGGGGGATAGAGAAGCATATGCTGAAAAACAACCCATTGAGTGTGAAGGAAGCCCTGTCTAGAACTATAGAAAATATTGATACCTTGAAGTATAGGGTACAAGAGGTAGTAGATGAAAAGAAAGATATTACAGGGATCCTGAACTCTCTATTGAGTAGAGAGAAGGAAACTAATGTAAGGTTGCAGAAAAGCTCTATTAAACGTTTTTCGCTAGAGACAGTGTGACCGGAGTGTCCGTTAATGTTCCAGGCGGCCACAGCTAGGGGACGGGTGTTTGTGTTTCTCTGATTTAGTTTTCAGCCATTTTGGTTGAACACTTGTTGACAGAGGGTCTGGAGGAGTGTGGTGAGCTGGGCTACCTGTTGCTTTAGTTCAGCGACCTCCTTTCGGAGTTCCGCTTCAGATGAAGTAGCAGGCGTTACTAGTGTTGTCTGATTGGCTTGGGGCGCGCCGGGCGCACGGTTCGCTCTCTCCTTAGTTCCCTTTCGGGCTGTAGAGATGGCTTCTTCCCGTTCCGCGCGCCTCGCCTGGGGAGGGTGGTTTGCCTTAGCCACTGCTCGGAAGGTGTCGTTTTTGTCAACTTTGCGTGCAGATGATCTCGACTTGGTGTTTTTGTTATTGTTTGGTATGTTTTGTGTTTTCGCTGCAGTTTTCCTCGCCTTGCAGCCGGCGTAGTTTGCAAAATGGTTGCCCTGGTAGTTACAGCAAAACGCTGGTGAACTGCTTTTCCCGCAGGACTCAGTCAAATGGCCTTCGCCGCAGAGCATGTACCGCGGTTTGACCTGACAGTAGGTCCGGGTTTGTGACCATCTGCAGCATCGTTTGCAGAACGTACCTTTCCATCTGCGGCGTTCGGCTCATCGCCCGTGGCGATGGCGGCGCTTTTTGGAAGAGAGACGGCGCTTTTTGCCTTTGCCGGTATTTGTTGAGGCGGTAGGCCAGGGTACGAGCATTTTTATTCATTATTGCATTTGTAAGAATAAGTTCATCAAATGACTTCTTATAAAGTTTTTCAAAAACTCAAAAGTTTTCTGTTAAAATGAGCTCAAAATTGCATATTTTCAGAAACACTCAAACAAAATTGTTTTGAAAACAGTTCCAAAATTTCAGTGTAAATTAGCATGAAGAACAAGGTTTTACTCTTAACATTCTTAAATTCATATTTCACTATTAAGGGACTGAAAAATTGAGAACGTGTAAAAAAGAATATTTTAGAGGTCAATAGATAGCAACTGGGAAGAGGGCAGACCAAATCTGACATGCTGACTAAAGAAATAAGGAAACTAACTGCTACAAGAAAGTTTGTGTCATTTGTAGCACCACTCGTTTGTATTTGAATTCATTAGAATTGAAACATCACATGACCTCTTTTCTCCTTTTTTCATTTTCTTGTATCAATATATAGCTTGTATGTATGTCTATTTTGTGAATAAATATATTATATTAATGCACTCTGTGCAGATTAATGGTGACTGAAATAAATTGTTCAGTGTTGAAACAGCACATATTTATGATCTATGCTGTTACAATTCTAAATCACCACAGGCGCATGTATGTTCAAAACGTGAAGTATTTAATTTAAAAATGAAATACTCCATTTTGCCAGAACATGTGAAAACAACAGCTGTAGGTGAGAAAGTTTTACTTATAAAAAGACCTAACCCTCCCCCCAAAAAAAGTTTAAACTGAAAGATTAGAAAATGAATGCACAAGATGAGTCAGTAGACAGGCGGGCGAATGTTTTTTTAAGAAATAACTCTTTCTTGGTATCAAAAAAATCAAAACCCCAAAATGTATATTTCCACCGAAGTCTAAAAATTTATTTTCCATAGCATTACATTATTTTCTCTATACTATGTATATTACTCTGTATATATGTATGTATACAAGAAAGTAAAAATCACTTATAGTACACTCTCTATTTTTATTGTGGATATGATTAATCGCTTATAGTTGCACTGTATGTCAATAAATTAATCATCATTATAAGAAATATAGAAAGATATTCATTATCATTATATGAAAATAAAATTGTGGCCTGTAGACATTGCAGTTGGAGCTCCTTATGAAGGTAATGGAGTTGTTTACATTTATTACGGAAGATCTACTGGCTTGAAGGGACCCCATCAGCGAATACCAGCAGAAGATTTGTACAAAAACTTAAGAGGATTTGGAAATAGTTTTTCAGGTCAAATTACCACTGCTGGAAATTATTATAATGGTAAATGTTTAAAATTCATTTTATACAGTTTGTTTTATATTAAAAAGTAGAGAATAATATTATTTTCTGCTGATATTAGGTATTGCTGTGGGCTCATTTCTTTCTGGACATGCTGTTATACTTCGTACTCTACCTGTTGTAACAGTCAGTACTCACATAAAACCCGTAACACGCCAGCTTTCACACGCAGTTTCTCAAGCAATTGTTGATGTATGTGTTCACTTCTCTGGAACAAATGTCTCTAGATTAAGTAAGTTCTAATATCTCATTAATTTTGTTTTGGCTTATGTAGTTATTGTTTTATTTTATCGTATTACCTTTCACTTGTAAGTCCAACTTTTAAATCCTTTAAACATGTAATTACTTTAAGATATAACTCAAAGGATATCAGCTGATAGGTCATTTGGTCGAGCCAAGCCAGCTTACATACACGATACTCTTCTGTTGGATGTTAATGAAGAAAAATGTCAAAACTACACATTCCATGTCTTGGTAAGAGGCAAATGAAAATAATGTGTTTAATTGTATTCGCTTGTCAACATTGCATGTACAATATCTGCATTTTGCAGTTTAAGCCAGATCTTGTCCATCAAAGCATGGTGTTTCTTCTATCAGCACAAGTCACAAATACTTCAGAGGCTGCAAAAAGAAAAGATATCCTTTATGTGCAAGAAGATGGTTCAATATCTGGTATGTATATATTTCTCTTTCTTTTCTTTGTACATACTTACAGTATTATTTACTGTAAGTGTGTACAATGGCCAGAAAGGTACTAATGTGATTGTTATGTTGACCATCTATGTGTAATTTCTGTAATTCATTAATAAGAAGTCAGTTAATAAAACATTGAAAATTGTGTATAAAATGGCTATGAAAATTCTCTCTTTAACATAATTAATAAGGTCGTTTCTTGGTTCAAATAAACTGGGATAATTATATCTTCTTTCATTTGTAATTTGAGGTCATCCAATTTTTTTCCCGCATTAACAAACTGGTAAAAAAATATGGATTATTACATTTTATTTCGATCAATTAAAGTTTTTTATACAATTACTCTCATAACATTACAGGAAAACTGGTTTACAAAACTTGAGCCTGACCTGAAGACATATGCACCCACCTTGGCGCTAACGACGCGAGTTCCGCGACATACTCGTAGCATTTCTCACTAATAACGAGTTAGAATATTTAGTCTCCTTTTCCACTACTTTTCCCGTGCTTTCTTTGTATTTTTCGTTCGCAGTTCATTTTATCATCCTGAGAGTTTTTAAATATGGGAATTGCGATAAATGGAATTTGCGGGGGCCTCGGAGCGGCCGCTTCGTGCTTAATCCAGACCTGGCTAAGAATGCATTATGATGAGTATCATGAAGAAAACCATCAACCGTTTGGAAGGTCTCAAATGACGTAGGTCCCTTTACTACACTGCGATGTTCTAACTCTGCCCCGCAAGGCCCTATTTCACGGTGTCATTATGTCAGTGTATTTCGAGTCTTCCTCGGTGTGTCGCTAGATGCCGCATTATCGTGAGCGTATCTAGCACTTCTATATGTTCGCGATCATGCGACATTTAGCGAACCGACGGAGAAAGACGCGAAAAACAGTGGCATAATGCAACCGTGAAGGAGGACCTTGAGGCCGCTTGATTAGCAGAGTTAGAAAAATAGCAATATACATGCCAAGACAGCAGCTCAAAATGACGTTTCCATCTGCTTCGTTCCGTATTCCTTTGTACAGCAATAAGCCCACCAGTCCCCATTGTTTCCGTAGAATCGCGGCTGTTCCCGTTCATTCTTGATTAAACAAGCCAACACGATATAGTCTGCACCTATGAGAGGGTGCCAAAGAGGGGCCCGAATAGTCGTAAGGCCTGAGGCTCTTAGTCGAGGGGGTAACGTCCACTCAGACCTGAGTTACTCGGCGGTACTCCAAGGTATTGCCATGGTGGGCGCAGTGAGAATGCAGAGCCAAAGCCTTGTGGCCGAGCTCGCCCGGTGACCCACCATTTGGTCCTCTACCTGCCGACCTCTGGACAGAATTGGGCAAGGAACTTGCTCCCAGACCCACATATGGTCCGATGACGAGCATGAATCCCCCCGTCATGTTGCCTAGATTTCGGCGATACTTACGTCGATAGCTTCAAGGGGAGGCAGTGGGGAGATAGGTTGAGGGCCTCGAGCCAGCCAGGCCTCGGTCCGGGCGGCCCTCAGTTGGGCTCTTGGAGTATCGTCGTGGCATTACCCGGCATTGCTCATGAGCAATTAAAAAGATATTCGTCCCGGCATATTGTGATTGACGCTTCATTCGACTCCGGTGTTAGCCTGGAAACTTAGTAGCTCTGAGCTGGCAGAGTGGCCCTACCCAGGCTAAATTGGGAAGGTTTACGTGAAGGGTAAATGTGGCCCGTCGGGATTCGGATTCCAGCCCAAGGGGGTAATTGTGCGCCTGCGGGGGTGCGGATACAGCCTAGCGCCTAGGTGCCCACCCCGAGGAGAAATCCTACTGGTGCAAAATGCGGATATAGAAACACGTTGTAGGCTACGCAATGAATGCACTTGCGAGAGACCGGTATATTGTATTTGTGGGCGTCCTGATTGAGTGCTTTTTACCAGGTTTGTTGGCGTTTTAGGTTTTTGCTTTCTCGCTCTTGGTAAGAAGAAAAATTATTGTAATCGTGCGACTGAAAACTGTGAATTCGATAGAAGAACCTCTTAGTAAGAGCCTTACTAAGTAAATTACTTTTTCTAATAGGTTGTGTGGTCAGAATACATGATTTGCAGGACCTTGATACCGGAAAATAGATTAACGGTAAAACGTCTGCCCGTCCGTCTGTGGCCTCTTTAAATGACGCCTCCCTTATTAAGGCCGTCCCTTAATATGACGCCTCAACATTTTCATTTTTTTTAATGGCTCCAAATTTGATTTTATAATATTGTTAAAGGACTTCATAGCATTCTTCAGTTTCTTCTCTCCTGCCTTCTTCAGGAACATATACTATACCAAATACATTAAGGTGCCCACTTTCTATTATCAATCATACTGTCAATATTCTATCATTAACAAAAGAGTACTTTTGATTTTGTTTTTCCATATCTCTTTTATCTGAAACACAAACAAATCCTCTTAGACTATTTTAACACAATGAATTTCGTTTAATGTTACAGGATATGATGGATTTCAATTTCAGGATCCCATACAAAAAATATCAAGTGGCAGCTCTGAAACAACATTGGAGATTCCATATTCTCAGGATTGTAAAAATGATGTTTGTGAACCAGATTTGCAATTAAAATGTTATATCCTGCAGAATGGAAATAAATTTAAGTATGATACATTGCTTCTTTTTTGTTTGCACTTGACAGGATTCAACTCAACTGAAAAAAAAATGCGTTATTGGTTTCAGTCTAACCCAAACTTTCGTTATTGGCTCAAAGGCAAAATATCAGCTACAAATAGATGTGACAAATTCAGGAGAACCTTCATATACAACATTAGCTGAAATAAAATTTTCAAAGGAAATTCAGCTTGCTAGCATTCCATATATGTGTACTGAAATAGATGAAGCAACAAGCTGTCAATTGGGAATTATTAAAAAAAGTAATAATGTAAGTTATTTTCTTACTTAACATGTGATTTACTGATAAGCAAATTAAAGTAGCCAGATTAATTGAAAAGGATATTAAAGGAGTCAGATAAAATAATTTTTAGAGTTTAATTCCAGTATTGATTCCGTTCATTGAACTAATGCATTTTGAAAACAAATTTAATGAATATGTTCATTTTACATCACCTTGTTTTAACAAATGCATCTTAATACCAATATAGAGAAACATCATATTAGATTTGGATATGTCCTCTGTTGATGAGCTTAACACTGATGAAGATCGAGCTTTGTACATTACTGTGAATGTCAGTACGGCAGCGAAAGATAAAAATCTTGTGAATAATTTCCAACAGCTTAATTTAAATCTTAGTTTAGATGTTGATGCACATATTTATGGGTGAGTACAAACATGTAGTCCTTGTTTTTGAAGAAAAGCAAAACTGTAATCTTTACTTATTAGTATTTTTTGTTATTACAGAAAATCACAGAAGGATAATTATGCCATTTCCAAATTTGATAATGGGTCATTTGCTTCAGTTCTAGAAATTGCCCAAATATTTGAGGTAAAATAAATAAATAAAAAAAGAAGAGAGTTATTTTTGTTTATATCTAGTTAATGGGATGACAAGAAAATGTACTGGCAGCCTGTAGTATTTTGTAATGAACAGTTCATCGCATGTTTATATTTATAAGGTGATCTTGGTTATCAGCTAATCGATACTTACATGGATGGAACTACATTTATTTGACATTCCCTTGACCTGATATAAACAATAACTATAAAAGGCTTAAAGATCATTGTTTAAAAGATGTTTATAATTTTAAAAAGATATATTAAAAAATTTAAAATAATTTCTGGCTTTTAATCACTGTTCCTTTTAGATTCATAAGAAAGGAGATAGTCCACTTAATATGCTGGAGATGACAATGAAAGTACCTGTTAATGTAATAAATGGGAAACAAGAAATACAAGTTATATCATTCCATAAACCTGATGTAAGTATGCCATTAATGAAAAAGAAAAGAAGTATTGAAATTTGAAGTGCAATAATATTTTCATTTCTTGAATATAGGGAATTATAGATAATAAGTATTGGGACTGCAATGCAGATTTTGGTTGCACAAATTGCCAAAATGTTTTTCAAAGAGAGTTTGAAGTTCCTGAATCTGCAGTCTCTGAAAATGTTCGGATAAAAAGATCATTTCCTGAAGAGATCTTAATCGATAAAGAAAAAGCTCCTCCTTCAAACAGGACTTTGTATATCAACTGTTCTTCTGAATATACAAACTGCACTACTGTTAGATGTCAAACAACAGATCTTGAAGATTATGGAAAAGTAACTTTAAGACTGAAAGTGGATATAGCAAAGTTGGGTAAATATATGCTATTTTAGTAAATACTGTACATTACTAGAACTAAATTCAATAGCTTATAATTGTTTTTAATGATTCTTAATGAACAACTATATATCATTATTTTCCAGGACCATTCATGGGGCAAAAAGATATAATATATATTACATCTGAAGGGGAAGTCAAAATTTTATATCCAGATATTACAAGTGTTAAAAATATTCAACAAAAATGGTAAATACTGATACTAATACACGTTAAAATCAGATACTAATCTTAAAATAGCTCTTCAATATAATATAAAGGATTTGAAGCTTTTTATATTTTTTATGTGCTTTGAGCAAAATCAAATTGAGCAAATTGCTCCTACTACCACTACCCTGGGGTGCCCAGAGAAAATGAAGGACCAGGGGCAGTTAATCCAAGGGGGCCCCTTAATCCAAACAAAAAAATTCCTCCTACCCAAATCCATGCATAACTTATAGCGTTAAATTTGGAATGAAGATAATTATATTTTTCATTTTATTTTAAGCAAATTGCCCCCCCTTCTGGATGCCCGTATCAACCCTAGTACCACTACAACTACGATTACCATGACTATTATGATGTGACTTCTATGATGAAGACTACTTCTACGACTAATACCACAAGGACTTTGACTACTGTGATTGAAGCAACGATGACCATGACTACCACCACTACCTCTACTACTTCTGCTGCTACTATTCCTACTATGACGACGACAGTGAGCATGACTACGACTATTACAACGATGACTGCCACAATGAACATGACCGCTGTTGCCACTGCAGCCACTGCCACACTGTTTTGCTTTTAATTTTTCAAAAATATAGTTATCAAAAGGCAAACATAACCACCCAGAAAGCTATAATTCAGCAAACTTGCCCTATGGTAGGCAAATTCTTAAACTGAGTGACAAAGATGAATTTCATGTCCATTGTTTTTTAAATCTGTCAACACACAGCTACATTGATCCAAGCTTGTCGTATGACTAGGTGAAAGGTTCCTAGTGCTTGCTGATAAAAGGTTTAAACAACAACAACAACAACAACAATAATAATAATAATAATAATAATAATAATAATAATAATAATAATAATAATAAATATTTTTTATTTCCTTCTTAAAAATGTATCTATAATGGGTTAATTTCTAGAATAAAAGTGTTGTTTTATTCAATTAGTCATAGAAGCAGATCTAGAACCCTTAATGTGTTCCTGTAATTTACAAAAATTAAAAATAAATTTAATTCTTCATAAAATATTTGTTCTGTTAATAAGATAATACTTATGTTCAGTCCCTCTATTGATAAGCTTCAAACACAAGCACAATATTCAAGGGTGTTTGGAAATCAAAGCTTAAATGAATAATTATACCATTTTTAAATATGAATTACATAAATATTACATTACATAAATAATTAGTACTACTTCAAAACTTGATTAATTATAACTCCATAATAATCAGAAGCTACAATAAAGAAAATAAAAATATAGGGCTACGTTTTTCACAAGGGTTGTAAAAAATCTTATTGTAACTATCAGCATTAAACACTTCAATATTATTTATTTGAAATGTTTAAGGTCTCATGTGGCTCAAGCATCTTCTCAAATAATTGGCAAAATTCCTAAGAAGAAAGTGGATCTGTGGATAATAATTGCATCAATAATTGGTGGAATACTCATTGCAATGGTTGTAGCAATGGGATTAGCAAAAGTGAGTGATGAACCAGATGAAAGTGTGATGGAAATTTTGCTTGGAAATAATAAAAATATTTACTTATTCTTCCCTCTCTAGGCTGGTTTCTTCCAACGAAAAACAAAAACTGAACTTGAACAATTGAAAGAGAGATCAAGAGTAAGTTGGTTTTTATTTACTCCCTGATCGAAATTTTATATTTAATTCCATAAGTGATATTCACAGTTTAGATGACCAGTTCCCCTAGAGCTAAAGATAGTTACACTTATTCCATAATGAAATTTATTGCACAACTGTATATTTTCAAGTCAGAATATAGAAAGAAGGAAACACTTTCAAAAAGAAATAGAACTCGACAATGAGAAATAAAAAGTATTTTGCTTATACAAAGAAGACCCATTAGCATTGTTTTGATTTTCATCCCTGTATAAATTGCAACATTTGGCAACTTAGCACATGGGCTCAAGACCAATTGATACTAATTACTAGGGAGTGGATTTTAATGACTTAAAACATAGGCAAAAATTATCAATAAAATGCTCTGAAAATGCCTTAAAAGCACAGAAAAATGACGTAAAAATTTGATCAAAAACAGAACAACTTAAGCTGTTGTATATGTTGCTGATATAATCGCCGCATCTTGTTTGTTCAAATAAACTCAGCTTGCAAACTTTTGTTTTGGACTGTTCTTTTCCAAAAAATCTCTGTCTTTAGTTATCATAAAATTGGCCAAACAATGACACTTATAGGCTTCACAGGAACCTTGGATTATATTCTTACAATGGCTGACATTACCATTTATGAGTGAAAAAATCGAATATGCTGCTCAGGAATTCTGTGGAGAATTTGTTGGATCTTGTAAATATTATTTGAAGCAAGTACCATTAAAATGACTTTAAAATTGATGAAATCAGCAAAAAGTGCTTTAAAAATGATGGAAAAAAGGTAAAAAATTACATTAGTCGAAATCAACAAAAAATACACAAAAACGACGTATCGAAATGGATTATTTCCCTTAGTCATAACATAAAATTAATGTCAATATAAAAAGGCATCGTTATAAAGTGAAAAAAAAAAAAAAAAAAGGTCATTTCTTTAAAATCCACCCCTATTAATAACCCACCTAAAATGTAAAATGTAAAAAAATATGTTGTGTAATTTCCTTCCACAGCAATTCGAATTCTGAACAACTCTTTTAAATTTGTCCATGTATCAAGATTAGAATTGTTTTTCATAATTATTTCTCAAAGTTTTGTTGAAATCCGGTAGTTTAGCAGGAATGTAGTGAAAAAAAATGGAATGTCCCTTGGTAATACAATGGGAGTGTAATTCACTGACTACGGCCTTAAACATGATTATTGAAATAAAGTTGCAATCTCCAAACTTATTGATGTCTGTTTGCCATTAGCTGTATTGATTTCTACAATTCAAGTAAAAACATTTGTACTGAGTTATTTGTTTTATTTTACAGAACAGTCAGATGCCTGCACAACAAATGAGTGTGTTGGATGCAGATTTAGATACAAATGGTACTGAATTACATTAATTATTTTATTGAACTTTATACAATAACTGTAACAATAACAAATCAATAAAATATTTCTCATTCTACAAGAAATTAATGATCAGTCATTCAACACCTGCATTTATTTTGAATTTTATCCACTGCATTTGGACTGTAAAATTTGTTGTTTCCATGCTTTAGTATGTTGAGAACATTAGATGAAATCTACATCTGATTACAAAGATAATAAAAGTACAAACGATTTGTTTAGATTTTTTTAGTATCAGGAGTGACCTTTAGAAGATAATGATAGTGGTGGTAAAGTGTAACAAATTTCATTTTTTAGTGTAGCGTACATTTATTGTAATCATGACTATACCATGCTTACAGTTGCAATTTCACTTATCAAATCAAATCTTAAGTTTCTTATAAGTCCATTTGAGAATTACTAGGTATATGTGGATTGTCTTCTTGGTGCGACTAAACACCATGACAGTATCACAACACAAGGAAAAGTGTTGTTCTGATGGAATCTGATAACTAATAAAAGTCAGAGATCGTGAAAGCAATCTACGAGTGTGCCCTCTTTTCTGATTTGATTGAATATTTCATAAAATAGTAATGTGTCTTAAAATTTTGATATTTAGTTTTGAGCAAATTGTAACTCTTGCTGCATAAATAACTAGCAAAATAATTGCCATTGCCCAGACTTTCTTCTTATCCAATTCTTGTAAAAGAGGAAAAAGATCCATTTTGTTTAAAACCAAGGTGCATAAGATTATTATTTTTAATGACGTTGGTTCAAATTTTAATACAATACTATGATTTATTTTCTTTCTTTTTATTTTACAGTACATTTATATTAGATTAATTTTTTTTTATCTTACACATTGCTATTGGCCTCTGGCAGGATATAATAGGTACCCATCTGCTCTTAGCGAATAATAGGCGAAAAACAATGATTGTAGTGCGTCTACAAACATATTATTTAAATTATTTATTTTTCGTATTTGTGTTGCATTAATCTTTACCAAACTTTGCAAGGACACTGTGATAATCCAGAAGAAGAGCCTTAAAAATGTATCTATTCATATACTACTTTCAGTGGTATTGATGTCGGTCACATGTCATTGAATTCACTTTTATTAGTATAGGTAGATAAGATAGTCAAACAAAATCAGTATTGGAATTCCTGTAAGTACAGGGTCCATAGAATGTACTTTTGATGTGTTAAACAAACCAGCATGATCCCATGTAGGCTAAGGCCACTCCTGACCACTGTGTTAGCAATAATAATAAATAACCTGAATTCCTTTAAAAAATGACATTTTTCTGTAGTTTGAGTTTTTTAAATAGATGCGTAAAAATGAATGCAGGATTATTTTTCCTTTTCATTTGCAGTAGGATATGTACCATTTTGTACATTGTTCACAGTTTTTGAAACTTATTTTAATAATTAACAAAAAACTAAAAAAGTGTATAAAAAATACATTCCATTTCCCTGTCTATCTTTCCTTCCTGTTAACATGAAATTTTATTTCACAGCCTTTTTAAATTTTTAAACACATTATTGAACTTTTTCATTCGTTTCGTAAGCATAGGAGTAAATATTTCTTGAAAAAGTAATGGACGATTAAGCAAAAAGTGTTTTAAACAATGCAATTTAGTAAATTTTTATAAATAATTTTTCACGATAAAACTTGTGAGAAAAATACTCCTGGGCATACAGCATAACTAGTGTTCTACTGTTTAATATACTTTGTATACAAGTCAACAGCAAAGCCAGTTACTGACAGTGGTATTGAGATTCATTGATCTGGAAGAAACTGATAAACCACACAATGTTTACTCTTCCTCACTACTTGAAGATGAGCTTGATGAACTTCTTCGGTGGAAGCCTTTGTGCAAAGCATAGGCTCCGAGGCCCACACCAGCAATTGGAAGACCATATTTCAGGGCTTTCTTATGGGACTTCTTTTGATGTTTGTACGCCTTCTTCTGTAGCAAGAAAAAAAAATCAAAGTAAACTGTGTTTCTGTAAATTAAATAAAATATGAAAGGAATTCAAATTTTAATAGAAACTGAACTAGGAATACCATTAGAAGTTGTCAGAATTCTAAGATACACAGTGAAGAACAAATGTGTGTTGATGGATTTGATTTTGAGAAGGAGATACGAGGTTAAAAGATAGAAACAGAACCATTGCTAAGTTGTTCACAATATTGTGGGGTGCTGATGTGATTTTTAAGTATACAAGTGTATTGATGGCTGAACAAAACAAGAGTAGTTTTTCGTTTTTTTGAATCAATCAGTTCTGGTATGCAGGTAGCTTATCTTGCATTAATAAAATACATCAAAGTCAATAAAAGAACTTTTAATGAACCTTAAGAAGAAATGTTTTCCAAAGATACTTACAGGACTGAGATGCCCTGAAAGAGCAGCTCCAGCTAAACCAGCTCCCAGAGCTGTACCTGCAACGCCTGCCCCAGTGCGCTGCAAAACAGGAACCATCAGATAACAATCAGTCATAAATACAACTAGTTTGGCTACAACAGCAAGGAATTTCTTGCTTTATTTGTTACAGTTAAATAATATTATAATACTATATGAACACACAAACCTTTTTTTCGACTTGCAAAATTTTGCCCATTCTGGGATTCAAACTCACATACTTAGGTTTGGCAAGTTAAATCCACTATGCCAGGGTTTCATAATAGATCCTAATTCTAGATCAACCCCTTTGGGGTCAATGAAATTTTGAAGGGGGTTAGTAATGACAAGGAGCTGATTGAGGTTCTGCAGCCAACTACAAACTGGCGATCGAATGATCACAAAAAATATTAAAGAAAATTTATAATTAAATTTTTTTCTGATATAATCATAAAAACAAAATAATAAATTGCAAATCTGCTCCTCTTCTGTTGTACTCGTCTCATTCCTCCTTAAGATCAGGGCATAGCTAGGCTGTGCAAACAGTGCCTTGTATTTGTTTCCCAAAAAAAGAGGGGCCCTTAGTAAGGATCCCAGCAGACAGATATTAGAAATAATTAAACAATTTGCACCCCAAGCTTATCTTCTCTTCTGCACAAGTCATATTATTATACCAATTAGATTTAAATCTTAATTTTACATCCATTTCAACTTTCTGCACAGAGGCATCTGAGAATCTAACTTTGCGACTGCTCCGGATGTTCAGAAAAAGAATTATAACTATCTATTCATTATGATATTCAACCAAGGTTAAAACGCTCCCTGCAATAGCATTGGAAATATATCATGGCTAGTTTAAAATTGCTCAATATTTTGTAACCATTTCACAAAAAGAAAGATTACAAATTAAGCTACTCAGAAGTGGAAGCACCTTTGAATATTAAAAATCTATATATTTACCAAAATATTAGTGTACAAAATCATTTTCTGTAAAAAAAAATCTCAGCATTTGCTCAAGGGACCAGGGAAACTGAACAAAAGCTGATCTAGATGGGGTCATTGGCCTCGAAATTATACTACAATACTTGTTACAGATAGATTAGGATATTAAATAGTAGATAATTATTTTTAGTTGCAGATAATAATAATAATAATAATAATAATAATAATAATAATAATATTAAAACAATACATATCAATTCTGTTAGCAACTACATAAAATTTAACAATATTAGTACATTCTATATTTAAAACATGAAATGGTAAGGAGAAGGAGGCAAGTTTTGACTACCTTTTTTTTTCTTTTTTCTTCTTTCAATTTGTACATGTAGCCCTGCTGCAGCATCTAATGCATCTAGCGAATCCAGAGAGAAACAGAATTTTTTGTTTTTAGGCATTCTCCTTCTACGTCACAGGATGTGATATGCCAGTTCTTTTTTCTTTGCTTCAGCTCAAAACATTTAACATGAAACAAAGTCTAATGGGATAAGAAATTCTTATCCATTTATATTTTTTAAGGGAAATATTATTGTGATTTGAATATTCCTTTACACTGTAGAACATGTTAAGCAGGAAAGCTTTCAATTTACTTTTAAATATATGAATTGTGTTTATGTCATTAATATCATTGCCTAGTTTGTAGTAAAGTGTAATGCCCTCTACTAGGGTACTTTTTGATAAAGTGTATTTTCAGTGAGGGGAACATGTAGGTTATCCTTTTGACAAGTGTTGTAGTTGTGTACACCGGAATTTAAAGTAAAAGTGTCTTTGTTTTCCATGATAATTTTTTTGTGATGACCACTATTTCAAATATATACATGCATGGTAGAGGAAGAATCCTTAGTCAATTGAACAAGGGTTTGCAAGACTCCAGCTTACGAGTGCTGGTATTGTTCGCAACATTCTTTTCTGGATAATAAAAGTGCCAGTGCTTTCAGAAGCAGTTCCCCAGAATATTATTCCATATTTTAGGTGTGAGTGCACATTTGCAAAATACATTGTTCAAAGTGTTTCAATGTTGGAGCATGATCTGAGGGTGTATAAGGCATAGCAAGATTTGGTGAGGTTCTTGTTAAAATTTGAGATGTGAGCATTCCACTCCATTGAATTGTTAGACCAAGGAAGGTAGTTTCATGAGGTATTGTTACAGGGTTATTGTTTATGAGAAAATGCTGTGAGAATTTTTCTTTAGATCAGGGATTCATGAAATTTAGAGACACTATTTTGCTGGTGTTTATGATTAGTTTGTTGTCTTGAAACCATTTTACTAGGGCTTGCAAAGTTTTGTGAGTTTCTTTTTCTAATGATTGTTGTGTTTTTGCTTTGATGATTATGTTTGTGTCATCTGCAAACAAAATTATTTTGTTATTCCTTAAAGCCAAAGGCATGTCATTTATGTATATAAGGAATACTATTGAACCAAGGATGTATCCTAGCTGGACTCCACAATGTATCATTTGAGGGCAGGAGTAGCATGAGGAGATTTTGTTTTCTTTAGTATGCCGGAGGGCAACTATTTGGCTACATTTGATAAATATAATTTGATCCATTGACCTGCAATGCCTTGAATCCCTAGCATTTCTAGTTTTTTTTTTAAAGTATATGGTGGTCAATAATGTCAAAAGCTTTTGACAAATCTAAGAAAAGGCTAATGGGAATTTCCTTCTGATTTAGTGCAACAAGTATGACATTTAAAACGGAGAAGATGGCTGTGTCTGTGGATCTATTACTCCTGAAGCTATGTTGTGCATTTGTAAGGACATTATTTGCATTGAGAAACTGTTTAAGCCTTTCCAGAATTTTTGAAAATCCTGATAACAGGGAGATAGGTCTGTAGTCCATTGGATCATAACTATTGCCCTTTTTAAACATTGGTTTAAAATTTGCTGTTTTGAATATATCAATCAGTAGTATTATCAATAATATAATGTGCAATTCGTTAGTAAAATTCGCAATATAATTCAGCCTACTCCTGAAAAATGCAATTATGTGCTGTGTTTATATCAAATATGCAAAATAAAATGTTTCTTGACAATTTCGTATCTTTTTTAATATTCAGAAGCTAGAACTTATAGTGAGACAAAGAGAAGAGGGTATTTGAAAGTATTTGCAAAAAAGTATTTTTTGTGGTACACATGCAGAAAGATACAAATTTGTAAAAGGACGGAAATGGGGTGCAAATTAAAACAACTTGGTATTGCACACAGCCCTGTGATCATAACCCATGTTAGTCCGGCAGAAATTTTAGCCAAACACAGTCAGAATTGCAGTACTGTGTTCACTGTGTACAAAAGACATTAATGATCTGATTCTACAACAATGCTTTGAGCCTTGGAAATATACTTAATGGAGCACTGCTAGTTGTTTTTTGACTTATAATATTTGCAATATATGCATTTTTACCACCTGAAATGACATACTGTTTGTGCAAATGTGTGCATGTATGTATATTTATATTCAGGTATATTGTATACGAATATGTTAAAAAATAATTAATTATTCAAATCTGCAATGTTAAATATTGTCTGCAATATAAGAAATCATAGTAACAGAATATTTTAGGAGCTTATCACTACAAAAAAATTGAAGAGAGGGAGATTGCAAAGAGGTGTTAGGTGTCGTCACATTTGAAAACAAAATGTCTCCAACTATCTATTGACACTTTCAAAGTCATCAACTAAATAGAACACCTCCACCCACTCTTTTCCCTGAACATTTTATCCAGTCTTGGTAGAGTCTTGGCATTTTTGATTGAAAAAAAGTATTTGTACAACTTCATTTAAATTTATATACTACTATTCTTATATTTAAAAAAGTTCTCTGATCTAGGTTGTAATGAGTTCCTTTGACAAGGTCTGTTTGTGTTGCACATTCTTTAACAATAGAAATAATATATTTTTGTATCTACACTACTGTAAAAAGCCAACTAAAAAAAAATGTCTTTAAAAAGTTACTGTTAATTTTCCAGAAGGAAAGCAAATATTGTAAGTCCAAAATTACAAAGAGAATGAACTTATCAAATATTCTAACACCACAATATATACAAAAGGCAATTTTATCTATATACAAATAAACTAATATTAATTGCTGAAAATGAAGGAAGCAGTATCTCCCGATCATGCAATAAAATGCATTTATAACCAAGACACCCAAGAAGTTAATTCAAATTAATATGCACATTGGATAAATTTGTACTTTGATCAGGATCTCTAAAAAATGTTGAAGTACTCAGTGATAACATACATCATAAATTGTTTCACTTAAAGAGGAAAATTCAAAAGATTGGAAAAGTCAAAAAATGATAATAACAAATCAAACTCTCAATTACTTTATTTCATTAAAGAATGAAAGAGAAAAAGCAAATTACAAGGTTTTGGCATTATGCAAAATACAATTACAATTTTTTCAAAAGGATTATTTAAGAAATTGTGCACCCTAACGCCATGAAGGATGAAACTGAAACAGAAGCAATCAATCTATAAACACAGTGGCATGCGTAAACTAGCAGTAAATCATACAAAATATTCCAACATTTCAAATCTGATAATTTAATTAAGCATGTCAGATCCACTACCTTGAGCTAACCTAAACTACACCCCTTCATGGCAACAAACAAAAATTTCATGCAAAAGCAGACAAAGATATTGTCCAAGGACACATTTACTTACAGGTCCAAGAACACTTGATATTGCAGATTGTGCCTTATCCAAAATGCCTCCACCACTCTTATGACTTGTTTGATTATGACCTGGAGGCGGTGGCTGCAAGTGAAGGACAAACAAAATGGCAGACATTCACATCGTAGCACTTACTAAGCAAAAGACAAGATTATTTGCACATGACAAAAAACAGGCAACATTTTAATATTTCCAGTTTGGTAGCAAATGTCAAAGCTAATGAATGATGTCTTGCAACAACAAGTCTGCAAGTGGAAATGTGCAAATATAAACATTTTACTTCAACCTAAATATTTAGCACAGAATGGGAAAGGTAGTCTTGGAGAAATAACGCCTGTCACTTATAATTATTATGAAAAGAGATGCGACAGATCAGGAACCTATATTTACAATGATATCTACTTGTTCAACTAAACTTTGAACAAGCAAGCCTCTAAAGCACAGTGCAACTATCATCAAAATCATCTTTCATGGATCTGGAATTATTTCAAATTTTATAAATAGCACAAAGGATACTATAGAGCTGCACACAATTTTATAAGTTGCAAAATTATAAATAAACACTGCCCCAATTTCAATGGCAAAATTACACATGCAAGGAATTTTTCTGCCACATTACATTTCTCAGCGAACATACAATGAGCAACGAGAAACAACATTAAGCAAATAAAAACATGCAAAGCTTTCCATTTTTTAAAAATTTCCCTCTCCTTGTTTTTCAATTAAGGCTACAAGTACATATATGGATCTCAAAGACAATACATTAATACACATTGCTCCTCTCATGTCATAAAGGAATCTGTTACCATTCCATAATAATTCAGATTCCATCTTCCCTTACCGGAAAGGCTGATCCAGCAGGGTATGGTTGTCCGTAGGGCTGTTGGTAACCATAACCAGGTTGTGGAGGATAAGGACCAGCTGCAGGTGGTGGATATGGTCCAGGAGCATATGGGGCAGAATATGGTGCTGGAGCTGGTGGGTAAGGACCTGAAGGACATGCATTAGGCATGGGAGGATAAGGCACAGAACCATGAGGAATGGGAGGAGCAACGTAGCCAGGAGCAACAGGAGGACCTGGCATAAAACCAGACCCAGGTGCTGCACTGCCTTCATAGGAGATCATGGCAATGGTAACATCACCGTCAATAGTCAAGTGACTGACACGCTGGTATGGTATTCGATGGATGTATTCTGTGAAATGCTGTCCATTAACTGCAATCTGAAACATTTTCAAGAATGTTAAAACTATTTATTCATTCATTCTTTTATTTACTACAATACAGCATCAGTTCAGCCAATACTCACATTTCATAAACAATGCTCAAAATTACTGAAATATGACAAAACTCTTTCTGTTTCAAAATACACTATTTCAGCAAATACTGCTTTTCAATTCACATGACAAAATGATATTGCATACATGTGTAATGACAAAGTGTGAAAACTAGAAAAGGCAAAAAGTCCAAATATTATACTACAGCCTTGTAATTAACTGTAACAACATGTTTTCACATGTTATTTTCTTCATTGGCTCTGAATATCATGCAGTCTTTGAAATGAAATAATGAAAATGGTTACAGTATAGTTGCAGAAATGTTAATTCCATTCCCTAGGAGAAGGTTGAGTCCTGAAACCCATGAATAGTAATTTACTTTATTTCTAAATTGCACATTCTACTGTAGATTCTATGTATTTACCTCTTCATAGAAGAAATGAACTCTCAAGAGAAGAAATCTGATTAATACCAAGAACTCTCTCACATGCATGAGAAGAGCAAGTGATTGGAGAAACTTCGTGCTCACTATTACATTCACATGGGGTTCAACACTTCATGGATATGTTGCCCAAATATTGTTTGGTGCATCTGGTATATTTATTGGAAGAGACTCCTTGGTAATCTGTACCTTATCTATTGAATCTGCACAATTATTTCGTACTGGTGATGTTCATACACATTAATTATAGGAATCAAATGATGTGATCTACATGATGAACAAGGCTTTACAATTTAATAATTAACTGTGTGATTTCATTTAATTTAAATAGAACAATGAGAGATATTTTGTTGAGCCCTGATGATTCATCTGTGGACCTCTACACAAGAGTTTGAGAACGGGTCTATGACTTTGTATAATGGAAGAATATAGTTTTCTAGACTTGGTATTCTTTCCGGAAGGAACCTCTCAAGTTGTCATTAACATGGAACACAATATACACTTTGTGTGTCTAACATATTTTTGAAATTACACTTGCATTCAACATTAAAAATTAACAATGCACAACCAAAAAGGTACAACACTTTTGAATTAAAAATTTTAAATCTCATTTACTAAACACGATAGGAAAAGACAGCATCAGCACTCAAAGAAAAACTTTCTATGAACTTTCAGAAAATAGCATAATTTTGAAGTCCACTATTACTTTTAAACATTCTCGTGTTGTTTTTTTCATATACTTCATTAAATTTCAATCTGTATCAAATTTATCCTCACAAAATTGTACTTGTCAGAAAAAACAAACAATTGTTTCTGAATTTTGCTCTTCTTACTTTTCAGAAAAGCAACGTTTGCTGAAACATTGCTCTTCTGAAAAATGAGACTTTTTCCCTTTCACCAGTGATTCTTGTCTCCTCCTTTTTCAATAGAAAAGTGGCTTGTTCAATTCTAATTTCCAGAAGTAATTTTTCTGTTCTTTCAATAAAAAACAAATATTCTCAATACCTTGCCTGCTCTATTTTTGCAGTAAATAACACATATACAATAACATTCATATGCACTCTTAACATTATTCTTAATTAGTTTTCAATATTTCTGTCAATGACTTGTACCTTGTAATGATCAGGATCACAGAGAACAATAATTTCAAAGCCTTGACCCCTGGCAAGAGGCATGTGACCAAATGTTTCCTCTGGTCCCCAATTCATATTCTGAAGAGAATTGCGGACAATCGTATTTTCAGGAAAACGGCAAGAAATGTGAAGAGCAATATCATCTCTTGGTACAGTATTAGGGCCACATTGCAAATTAATGCCAAATCTGAAAGAAAAGAAATTTAATACACTTTTTACTGATTACACCATAAAAGATAATTTGCAGTATTATCTTCTCAAAACTACAAGTAAAAACAATTTGACATATCAAAGATACATAGTTTATGGTTTAAATGGCATTTGTAACAAAACATGAGATGATCATTACTATATCATCATTCTTAATGTAAGATTACAATCAAAGCAAATTTTAATAAAAATATATTAACAGTATTAGAAATATATGTTCTACTATACCTATTTGCTGTTGGGAAGATTGTCCCATGTATGCGAACCATTCTCCCAGGGTAAAATCCATTGTCAACAGGTCCTATATAAGGCACCACCTGAAACAAGGCAATTATTTTAGACATTCTTGATTCTACAGTAATACTTTAAAAAACTCTTGAAACTTTGTCTTACCACATTATAAATTGGACAAGATGCCATTTTGGAAGTTGTAGAAATGAGGTCACCTGAAAGCTTTAGAAAACATTTCCAATATTATATACGAGATAATATTAACATTCTTATCATACTCACTACTCTAAACAAAAATTTGTCTTATGATTTTCTTACATATCCTGAATACCTGTTTGCTTCTGGAACGAAATTGACTGGTCCTCCAATTCAGGGCATTTCACTACACTTTCCTTTTCCCTAAATGTTCCTTAAAGTAATATCACGGTTTCAACATACAGCTGAGTGTAGCACCATGGCAGCACCAGTCATTCCTTGACGTCAGTGATCATATGGTCCGGCCCAGTCCGACCGCCTTTCAGTCCCTGAGTAGGTATTGGTGCGTATTGGTCTGAGTCACTGCAGCATTGCACCATGAGTTGCAGGAATGATTTCACGTATTCCAATTAATTCCTCTGATACACACAGTTAAGCATTATAGAATAAAATTAAAATGCTCTTCGCCAAAAATTTCCTTGAGGAAGAGCTTTTACTTTCTAGAGTAGTTTTGTCACAGCCCACTATATAAGCACATATGAAAATAGGCAAGAGAGACAAGCAAGATACGCCAATGATGCAAGAACATAACGTTTTTTGCCTCATGCTCTTGCTCATGGCTTGAGGCATCAAAGTCATTTGCCATGATCAGCCATAATATTATTTTTTTTCTCATGTCACCCACTGGTGAAGTAGGAGTGTAGCGCCTCCGGGACCGGGATGGAGGGGAACATAAATATGAGAAATACAAAAACGATGTCGAGTGAGTTTTGTAATACCAAGGATAAACCGTCAATCATTACGTGATTAAATCAAACTCCCATTATATTTTATTTAACCCCCATTTCCGTTCAAATTTCGAAATCAATTTTATGCAAATTACATAACTTTCTCTGTAGTATGTATATTACTGCGTATCATGGTGGAAAGAGATGCTGCGTTTATATGTTTGGGGATGAGAAAAGTAACTAGTTGTGTTAAACAACACATGGTTTCTCTCATTATTTCTAACTTTTGCATTTTTCTAAAATTTAGAGTTCAACGAGAGATATGCGCCATTTTCTAATACTCCTTAACGCCAACAGGAAACTAGTCCCACAGAATTGCACAAACTTTCTCGTACTAATTAGTTTTCTAATTTCTAATGTCTGGGTTAGTGTTTCTGTTTTGCTTCACGCTCTTCCTAGCAGCCACAGTTGGTGCTTAACCAGAGGCGGGATCAAGGCTCTATAACTCCCATATAACGTGGTGGAGACCATTACGGTGGCGCGCTCTGCTGCATCACCTTCTTTACAGGAACTGCTGCCAACGATACTTTAAACGTGCGTGACTGCTGCGTGAGTTCGCGGGTCGCAAGCAGGACATAATGTTACAAAAGATAACGTCTACGTTCGCGCTTTCTTTAGAGGTTTCTTACAAGTGGAGATTATCAATAATTGTACATTTAGAAGACACTTTTCGTATTTCTCACAAATTAGCAAATTTGTATGTGAGAAAGTTGGCGAGCCCAACCTGCAGCTGCACCCGGCGACACTAGCGCTTCCTATAGTAGCAACCTCGAGCTTTGTCCCCGATTTTGATGGAGAGTTGCCGGGCCCTGGGCGGGATTCTGAGGGGGCAAGGTGGGACAACCGGAGAGTATATGTCCTAACATGGGGTGGGGACAACTGTGCCCCCACCCCATGTTAGGACAATTAAAAAAATATAATTAGATATTTCATTCCGCAGATCTTCAAGTGTATATTATAAAATATTTACTTTTTTCTTATTTTGAGCAAAACTTAATCCCTACACGATATTTGTGAAACTGTGAGTATGCGTTCATGCGTATCCGTCACTCACGATTACACCTCTTCCCGTGCACTAATCGAAACGTATGTCATTCGACACGTCTCGTTCTTCTAGTAAGGAACTTATAACTTGTTTTCGGATACGGCCAATGACTAAGAAATTTTCAAAAACGTGTTTTTGCGTGTTTTAGTGCTGCCATCTTAGTATGTTGGGAATTAAACTAACGCCACCCAAATAGATCTATGTAGGTTACGTTGAATGCGACAAGTTAATCGCCGCGCGGCAGATTTGATTTAATTTCCATATTAAGGTATTTAAAAAATATATTTATAAAAACCTACGAACAGTATTGCCTTGAAACTTTTTGAACTTCAAAAACTTCAGCTAAATGCGAAGAAAACCAAACTGTGAGAAATTCTACAGAAGCACATTTTCGCTCGACTTTGCACATTTACATTCTTCAGCTTGCAAATACCGATTTTCAAATGAATGTTAGTAACAAGTTTTTTTTAACGTAGCTAACACCTTATTCACATAAACATACAAAACAGTAGCTTTTTAATGTTTACATAAATTCGCCTATAAAACGATAAATAGAGTAATTACAGAAGTAGAAGTGAACAAAATTAGACAGACTTTGTGGAGTTTTAATCTCCTAAAAAATTAGGGGACAAAAACATGGAAGGGTTAAGCGAATCTGGGGAAGAAAAAAATGCAGTTGTAGAAGACTTTGCGACAGAATTTTCTGTAGTAATTGAGAACGATCTTATCAGAGAACAACGCAGCTTACAGATGATTTTATTACGCATTTATGCATTTTTGTGCATATTAACAAATAAAACGTAAAAGAAATAAAGAAATTTAGGTGTCCTAAATTCTAACCATTTAGCTTAATTGGTACCTGCAAGTATTTTGACGGCGTTTATAATTTTGAAATTGCAATATTTCCAGTACATATCCCCTATGGAGGTAACATACAAGGCCCGTAGAGGGTTGGACATTTTTGAAGAGGGGTAAAATATTATTAGCTATTACGATTCATTGCTATGTCCAGGAGCGGATCCATGGGTAGGGAAGTTAGGGAAATTCCCCCCTAAAATATTTTTGTAACTATTAATTTTAACATGTCACGAAACTTTCAAGCAAAAATATTTTTGGATAATTATTAAAACGAATAAAATCGTATCGCAGCATGAGCTGAGTGTAGCCTGAGACATTTTACAAAACCTGTAATGACACATTCGACTAAAACATTTTTTTCACTCACAAAATTGGTCTTTGGATACACTTCTGGTATGTTCAATGCTAGAGACTGTAAGACCTTTTTTCAACAATGCTATGGATTACATAAATTTTCAACATATGAAATTACTTTTATAACAGTTAACCGCGTCGGCGACGCCACATTCATCTATCCCTACATAGTATTTGAGTAACTGCGAGTACGTGTGTGTACGGATCCGTCACTCACGGTTAGATCACTTCCACACTACGTGAGACATTTGAGAAGTCATTTGACTCCTGGTGGGGAATTGATAAATTGTTTTTGAATCCGGCCAGATGATTCTAAGAAATTTCAAAAAAACGTGGTTTGCAGTGGCAAACTGTTTAAATTTGATGAACTTCAAGGGAATACGGAGAAAACCAAACTGCGCGTATGCTATACAAAATGAAAGCACATATAACTTATTATATTCGCCTTCTCACAGTTACGTTCTTAAGCGTGCAAATACCGATTTTCTAATGAATGTGACTTGTTATTCTTATTACACTTAACACCTTATTTACATAAACTTACAAAAAATTCGTCTTTTAATGTTTGTGTATATTGGCCAACAAAATGATAAATAGAAAAATTGCAAGAGTAAAAGTTAATACAAATTAGACTGAGTTTGAGAAGTTTTAATCTTTTAAAAAATTCGAAGACTAAAATATAGAAGTATAAAGCAAACCCGAGGAAGAATCAAATGTGGTTGTAGATTTTGGGACAGAATTTTCGGAACAAGTTGAAAATGTTATTAGAGAAAAATGCTAAACTGCTTACGGGTGATATTTTATGTGCATGTTTGTGTATATTAACAAAAAAGCGTACGAAATGGGAAAAAATAGGAGCTTCTCACGAAACAACCATTCCGGGATTCGCGATGCGATTCGCGTATCATGTTTTCCAGTATTACTTGTAATCGATGGAAGCGTAGTCGACAAACAGAAAAATTTAGGCCTTTGACAACGTAAAACGATTTTCTTTACCGGATCTTCAAAAGGAATTTGTCAACGCTGCGACGCGTACAAATTTTAAAATGACACAGAGTGAATAACTTTTTCCGTGATCTGGCAGTTCTAGCGAGAACATAGTGTGTTAGAGACCAAAAACAGCGCGTTTACAATTTTTGAAAAAGCGAGAAAGTGAAAATATACGAATGGCGTTGAGTAAAACTCATTATTATATTACATTTTGTAATTTTTCCCCATTATAATGCAAGATATAGTGTAACTAATGCATAGTGTTTGTTTGACGCCAAGTGTTCACTGAGAAAAAAGGGAACATGTTATCTCCACTGAATATTTTCCGTTATTTTCAATGTTATTAGAGTAATTCCACTTTTTTGTTATTATAAAAGCGAATATGTTGTTTCAATCTTAATGTTGGAACCATTATCAAAAACGTTTTATTGGTTTTTTTTTGGATAACAGAACCATTTTCATTACAACTGTATAATAAACACTCAAATGAATGCACAGAAGTGTTGCAGCCATTTTTAAAGTGTAATCGAAATAATCTGAAAAAATTCACGTTTTGTGTTTTAAGAATAACTTTGTTTTCAAGTATATTCCAGGGGTCTAAGAGAGTAAAAATCATTTTTTGTTATTAAAAATATCTTTGACGCTGAGAAAATATCAAAAATGGTTTTGTGATAGTGTAAATGGTTTTGTTATTGTTCATATTTTTGTCAATCAGTTAAAATAGTGTTAAGTTGATGAAAAAAATTAAAAAAAAGCACCTTTCTGGCTGTAGAGGGGTGTGGGTGGTGCGACAGTGGCTAAGAAATCTTTCAAAAATATTATTTTTATGTTATAATTATAGTGTAACTACTCATATGCCTTTTGGTTTAGGGGAACTTTTTACCATCTTATGTGGAGGGATCCCTTTGCCCCTCCGTATAAAAGATCCGAAATCCCGCATCTGTATTTAACCCTAAACTAATGGCGTCAGGTCAATTTGACCTGAAGGCATTTTCTCTTATTATTTTCAGAGCCCGGCGAGCTCATGATGATGCGGTATCCATGTAATCTCTTCTGAAAACATTCCTATTCAGAGCGTGCAATCAAAAATGCTGTTGACATATCTGTTTCTCTGAATTCATGCTGGCGTTATGTGTTCCCCTTACAGTTAAAAAATACAGTGACTGCTATATGACGAAGCGGTTAAAAAGCAACCTACTTTTTTGTTAATTAGACACTCCCCTGGAGTTCTTGCCAAGTTAACAAAGAGCGGTAGATTCAAACCTCTTTGGCTTTACAATTCCTAGACCTAGAAAACATTATTTGAAATAAATTACAAAAGTGAACATTGTTTTCTTTTATTTGTACAAAATATAAGGATAAATTTATCAATTTACATAATTTCTTCATTATACAATTATTATTAATTATACAAAATTAAAAAACTTCCTTTTTATGTTAAGGCGTAAGTCAATATCATAAAGGAAGAGATCTAAAACGTGGAAACGTCAGCATCACTACCACATTATCACCGACATATAATGAAATTAATGATAAAGATTGAAAATACCCTTCTCTTGGCGAAAATGTAAGGGATTTTGTACGAAAATTGAAAGATATATAATTATATCACAATTTTAAAAACTTAAAATTACGATATTTAAAACAAATTCATAAATCTCCGCACAATAATCGTTCATCATTGTCCGCTGTGCACTGATTTTTTCGTGTTCAGTGTCCAAGTTTTCGGAAAGGCGAGTATTAAAACCCCACATTGACGGGTCGAATGGCGATTTCCAGCTTGCGTTGCGTCGCTAGGCCCCAGGGTGGCTCGAGAGGACGATGTTGAGGGCGTCGCCCCCAGGCAGGAAGAGTGCGCGCAGGGCGATGGCGTGGGCGCGGGCGGGTCCCGGGTCCCGGGCGCGGGCCCGCAGTGCTTCCGCCGCCGTCAGCAACGGGGTGGCGCGCTCGGGCGGGCGGGCGCGCAGCGCTGCCTCCGCCGCCGCACGCGCCACCTCCGCGCGCGCGTCCGCCACCTCGCGCAGCGCCTCCAACTCCCCCGCCGGCGCGCCGCTCGCTGCCACGACCGCCACCGCTGCCGCTGCCAGCGCCTGAAACAAGCACGTTCGGTACGTGTTGTCTAATGTAAGTGTCCCAATATGAGGGCAACACAGCGGAATTAAATGCATTATCTTATCCTCATTGATTAATTTTCTTTAATTACATACATAAGAAATAAGTAACAACCATACATTCACTTTAACAAATCAAGACATTCTTAACACAATAATCATAAAATGTTATATTCATTGTAATTATTAATTAAGACAATTCAGTTGTTCGATGTTATCATCAGTTACAACTACAGATTGCAAAACAAGAGCAGCCCAGAGCAGACTCAAAGCTTTAACGTTTCATATCAAATAATTTGGATTCTGTGAATCCTCTGTTCTTTTTATTGTCACTCGCATAGAAAAGATGGAAACATTTTTTTCTTAAAATTTTGTTAATTGAAAAAAAAAATCTTGCAAATTTAAATAATTTCCCAGATAAAAATAAATTTTTTAGTTACGAATATACATGAAAAATATTTTATATTTGAATAATTTTCAGGTCTTGATTATTTTTTCTCACGGAGGATGGTGACTGTTCCGCTTCGCCTGACTTCGCACTAGGCAACCTTAAACAACCCGCTCCACTCACCAGCTGCTCGAGCAGACCGTCGCGGTGCGCGGCCTCCTCGGGGTCTGTGGGGGCGCACGCCCGCTCCATGGCTGACAGCAGAGCGTTCCATGCGGGCACCAGTTGCGTGCCGAACCGCTGCCTCGCCGTTCCCGCGCCCAACTCCGCCTCCGCCGCCGTCATCCCTGTCGCCGCCGCCGCCAGCGCCGCCGCCGCCGCTTTGCGCACCTTGAAGTTGGAGCAGCGCTGCACCAGCCGCAGCACTGTCGTACACGCCGCATCCTACACGTGGAGGGCGGAACAGGTCAGAACGCGTTCAGGGAGGTTTACACGCACTCCTATCAGCACTGAATATTTTAGGAACATTCATTATAACTTTTTATGAGTAACTCAAATTTGGAATAATGAACGTCTACAATGGATACTCTGAAATTAAATGATTTCCTTCAGGAAAACCAAAACAAACTAACAAATTCTGCGTAATATGAACAATATTTCAATGATTATTCATTAGCAAACTCAGGTTCAATCATAAAATACTTTTTGACGTAATGACTATTAAGAGGAATAGTTAATTCCCTTCATTAACAAACTCCGTTCAAGTGCAATTTCTCATATTAATAGGATTCAAAATGACTTCATGTTTCCCTCCGCTCCATTGAAGCGCTTCATGTTTATTCCACTACTATTTGATCCATATCGATGGATTCCTATGGATAATATGATTAATTTTTGGGTCAAATCCTTTCTATAGTATGCAAAAAATAAACTCAAGTTCGTAGTGAAAACAAGCATACGCATATAATGACAATACATTTTCGTAAAAACGCTCGGCATATCAAATACAATAGTATCTATTTCGGGTCAAATTTGAAGAAGAAGAAGAAGAAGAAGAAGAAGAAGAAGAAGAAGAAGAAAAGAAAAGAAAAGAAGAAGAAGAAGAAGAAGAAGAAGAAAAAAAGAAAAGAAGAAGAAGAAGAAAAAAAGAAAAGAAGAAGAAGAAGAAAAAAAGAAAAGAAGAAGAAGAAAAGAAAAGAAGAAGAAGAAGAAGAAAAGAAAAGAAGAAGAAAAGAAGAAAAAGAAAAGAAGAAAAAAGAAGAAGAAAAGACGAAGAAAAGAAGAAGAAGAAAACAAGAAGAATGATTCCAAGTCGTTTGTCAGTGCGCAGGTCAAAGGATAATTCTTTCTCCACTGCGCGTGCACATAAGTCTGGCTGTCGAAGCACGTACCTGCCAGCGGGGCCGCGGCCCGAAAAGCGCCGGGTTGTGCGCGGCGTTGGCGAGAGCGTAGCAGGCGTTCCATCGCGCCTTCATGAAGGCGCCTGCGTCGGCAGCGCGTGCCAGGGCCTCGAGCGCGCGCTCCGCCTCCGGCCCCGCCCCCGCGCCATCCTCTTCCAGCGCGTGCGCGGGCAGTAGGCGGAGCGCGTTGCCCGCCGCGCGCACGGCGTGGCTGCGCACCTGCGCACGCAGCAAGAAGGATAAGCAGGTACCAAAAAGGCCTCTACGAAGATAGCGCTCTCACTGATTCCCTTCTTCGGTCAGATATTAGGGGATGGTGCTTACGACTACCCACACGTTTATATTGGTTGTCAAGTGTTGACTGCCTGATACATGCGTCGTTGCCTTGCTTCACCGTTTTGGATCTGTGTTCCTTGCATTATGACCTACTTAACAACTCGCATACAATATCTACAGCAATTAACACAAAATTTTAATAAAAGTGGATCCTGACGAAATTTTACAAAGTAATGCGTGGAAACTATCGGGGAAAGATGCAATTACAACAGCATCGGAAGTTCTGGAAGTAGAGTCAAAAGCCACCATTTACTCATACCTAATTATATCAGATTATGAAAATTAAAAAAGAAAACCTGCGAATTCAAGCATTAAACATTTTAGAACTATTTAGTCCTTTGTGCATTAATTATTGTTATGAGTGGGAATACGAAATGTCACAGTTACTGCTATTCGCGACTAAACATACAGCAAAATATCTCAACTCATGGTGATTGGGGCTAACTCATTCTGATATGCCTGACTCTCACACGTCAAATACATAAAGAGAACGTGGTACGAGGATAATAAATGCGTGCGTTTCAAAGCACAGTTCCAAGCGCACCCCAAGCGTGTGCATGATCGTTTTGCCAATTCTGTGCCTCGCGGCTAAAGCGAAGAAACGTATGGCGAACCAAAATATGTATATTTCGTAGAGAGTTGCACGTTGTCCTTGCTTCTTATTTCACCATCCCCCCATAGTTATCTCATCGGCATCATCATCACCCCCATAGTTATCTCATCGGCATCATCATCACCATCATATGAACTGTTAGTACACGTGCCTAATAATAAGGAAAGTTCAGATAGAGGATATCACAAATAAATAAAGACACGGGTTCTCAAAGACATTAAGAACCAAAGCTAAATAAATGTTTTGAATGCTTCTTATGAATTATTAATGTCAGCACATATCTAATGTCTTGAAGTAAGAAATGCTTTTGCGTTTGCTACATGCGTAAGATCCCTAAAAGTATTTAACTCAAGCATTTTTACCCCCAACCAATAACAAGTACCTTCAGCGCTTCACATCTTCGTGAAACCCAGACCCCAAACAACGGCCGTCAACTATACATACCTTGTCGACGTCGACGGCGCCGTGGTGCGCGGCCTGCAACAGGCGCAGCAGGTCGGCGCAGTCGGGCGGGCTGCCATGGGTGGGCGCGTCCTCCACCAGGGCGTCGGACACCTCGGCCAGCGCCCAGGCGGCGCGCGCGCGCGCGGTCGCGCTCGCGTCGTGCAGCAGCGCGTCACCCAGCCGCTCGGCCAGCGTCCATAGGAAGTCCGGCGAGGCGCGCGGCTCGCGGAACGCCGCGCTCAGCCCCAGCGCGCGCGCCGCCGCCGCGCGCACCGCCGCGTCTGCATCCGCCAACGCGCCCGGCGCCAGCGTCAGCGCCAGCACCTGCTCGCGACGCTGCGCACACAGCCGCCCTTCACATGTCACACTTGCATTTCATAACGTACAAAGAAAAGCGTACTTTGTTTTGTTGTAACCATTTTGTGTGGTTAGGTAGAAGGGGAGATTAATGACTCGCGCGGCGTAAATAAAGGCAATTGAGGCCTTGCAAAACCAAAGGAGCTAAGAACCAAAATTTTCGAAACGAAGGTTTTGACATGTAAATATTATATAAATCTGTGCCAATCCACAGTTAAAAGAGCGGTTCCAAATACATTCCAAGTAGTTGTAACAAATACGAATTCATAGAGTTTTTATTTATTAAAAATAAATAAATAATTGGCTCTCATGGCTTTGCAAGGCCCCAATTATATTACCATTTCAATAATTTAATATTCAACACTTTTCATCTACCGGAATATTTAATCTTGATGATTATGCATTAATTAAATATAACAATCAAGGGGAAAATCGTCTAGTGATTATGAAAAATCAGTTTCTGAGAATTAACTGTACTTATTTTTTGTCTTCGACGAACTCTCAAAGTCATGGGAGACAGTCGTCACGCACAGTCGACATACGACAAAGTTTTGCAAATAATTTATTGGACTGTATAAGCTTTGTTCTCTTTAATTCAATATATTTTTAATTTTATTTTATAGAATAACTACAATAACAGACACTTAACTCGTTTTGAAACGTGATTTATTATTGTCTATTGGCCGCATTTTTATTCATTTTCCGTAGTTAAATTCTTTTGTTTGACCTTCCCCTTGTCTTGCTTCGCCGATCTGTATTATTAATTTCGATTAATCATAAACAGTCTCGAATTAATAGAAAAATGTAATAATTTCATAATTTATCTACGTACACAATTGGAACGAATTTTTCTATTGTTTCATTTCAAATATTAACAACCCTTATATCACTGCATTCGGATCTTTGAGAACTTTATAATGGCGGTGAAAAAATATTCCTGTATTTAAAAAATCAATGTTTATTTCGAAAATTAAAAATGTAAAAGAGAAAATGCGAAGACGAAAATGAACTAATTTCCACATCATCTACATTTCTTTGCACAAACCGCGTCCCCATTTCATATACAGTTTCGAAGATATTTGCAGTGTCCACACTAGATGGAGCACTCGTATTACATCATATGTCTATAACGAGTATTATTTGAGTTAACTGTCTTCAATATCTCTCTTTCTCTCTTTACAGTAATTTCCATGCATTGTATGCGTATTGTTTTGAAATCTTACTGACAACAGCAAAACTGCTTATTTCCACATACATGCAATAAGAGTTTTGCTGTTGCAAGGCACTTATACTTAATATCCCACACCACATGTAGCATGTGGAAGTGAAAACAAGGCGTTTTGTAAACTATTAATTTGAGACAAAACGTTAAACATTATGAGAGAGTATTAAAAGTAGCTCTGTAGCTCTGAATGTGTATTCGGTATTAAGAACAATATACTTTATAATACTTTCAAAATTAGCAAAATATTGTTTTAATATATCTTAATGAATCTCGTCGCTACTGGATGTAGCTCATCATTGTCTGTAAAATAATCACGAACCAAACTCGATCTTCCATATTTGAGTCCAGGAGAGCAGTAAGCTCCCGGGAGTGCAGGCTGTGGTCCTGCTCCGGCTTGCCCGCCTGACATTTCCCCAGCGATCGATATCTGGGAAGATGCATGTCCTCAGAAGGCCTCGGCCCTCGCTATGCAGTCACAAGTTCAAGGGCGGGGAAGGGGAGAGGACGGAAACAGAGCAAGAGAATCGAGGCCAGAAGAGGGAGGAGAACTGCCGAATTCCTTCTCGAGCGCATTCTACACCATTAAGTTATGACTCTCGCAAATAAATGCATTGCAGAGGCGGAAGACCGGGAACTTAGCCGAATATTTTGATATCTGCAACTGATTTTTCTTATTCTCACCCTTCTTTCTCATCCAGATCAACATTTAAAGAAAAATGCTGTTAACTGCAAAACATTCCTGAATATACTGATTTAGAATACCTTTAACCAAGGTCGGATTTCAAGACCTCGGACCCCTAGACATTTAGAAGATTAGGGACCCACCTTTTCAGTGCTTAAAAAAAACAACGAAATATTAACATTTAAAATAGTGTAAAATAATTATTTACTATATAGGGTGAATTTTTATTAAGTTTGTGTGTGATCCGTTAGTTGCAAATTGCAACTTGAAGATATTTTTAAGTAAAATTGATAAAAAACCATAAATTTAGTACAAGCCAATAAAATGGATAATTTATTCAAATGAAGTGAAAATAAAGTTATCAAACACGTAGATAGAAGTGGTCTTTTCTCACACTTCTTTCTCATCCAGATCAACATTTAAAAAAAAATGCTGTTAACTAGAAGCTGACAATAGAAGTGGTCGACGCCTCCCCCCCCCCCTTTCGAACAATTTCGTGACTAAAATCATCTACCCCTTCACGTGTACGTACACTTCAACGCTCATGAGATGACGTTGACATTGGAATAGTAATTCAAGACCGTATCATTGATGATTTATGGAAAGCTTAATGAGAACAGAATTATAAACATTCGCATATGATTTATTGGAAAACTTTCTTTCAAGTAACGAACTTCGAGTTTCTGCAATTCACATTTCAATCACGCCTCAAACACGCTCTATCTCACTACCGCAAGCATGGATTGGTTTCAACAACTGGGAACATGCGGTACCCAAACGGGAGTTTATCTACACTATCAAGCAGTTGGGCCAGTATCGGTAATGTAAACCACTATACCAACCTATTGGTTGCCCTTTACAGACCCTAGGAAGCAGTGAATCCATCCAAACCCTGTGCCCTCTTCCAGAAATTAGACTCCAAAGGTCCCTCATTGGGTGTGAAAAAGAATACGATGTCGTCGAGACGGTGACCTCAGAATATTTCTAATGCAGTGACGAATTTCATGTTCCACGGCCGCCGCCGTGTCGGAAATGGCGATCCCGAGAGTGATGGCTTTATTATTTCTTGTTTCTGGGCGCGTCAACGGCTATGATCATTAGACTCCTAAGTAGTACATGTTTCATTACGGGAAGCGGTGGCGGCTTCCCCGCGGGCTGGTGAGACACAGCGCCGACCTACCTGTCGACTATTGGGGTTTTCCCCTTTAAGGTATATCCCTCCAACAGGGCAATGCCCCAGCCAGGACATGCTCTAAGCTCCCAACTGATTTTCTGGTATGTGGGAAAGTGTAGTGCACGTAAGAGTGTGTGTAAGTAAGGGGTGCACATAGGACAAGGAAAAATATGATGATGATGATAATGATGATGATAATGATGATGATGATGATGATGATGATGATGAAGAAGATGTAAAGAGCGTGTGTTGGCCGAGTTGGTAGGGTACTTCCCGGTATTCATCTGGTATTGATTGTACAGGAACAGAAAGGGAGTCATTTTCACGTTATTGTCCAATGAAATTAATGAGTTAAAAACTTGAAAATTGTATGTAATGAAGCATTTACATGGAAAATGAATAAATGAAAAAAATATGCCTCAGAAATCTGAAGCAACTCACCGGCAGCGCTGCGTAGGCGGCGTCGTGCATGGCGGCGAGCAAGTCGAGCGCAGTTGCGCGTTCCGCAGGGTCGCCCGCGGCCAGCAGTTGCGGCAACGGGGCGAGCGCCGGGGGTTGGGCCTGGGCCTGGGGCTGGGGCTGCGGCTGGGGCTGGGTGGGACGCCGGACGGCCAGCAGGCGGCCCCAGAAGGCGCGCGCGTCGGTCAGCGCGCGTTCGCCCTCCTCCTTGGCCAGCGCAAGAGCCAGCGCTTCCAGCACACGCGCCGCGTGCAGCCGCAGCGCCCCGCTCCCGCCGCTGTTCACACTCGCGCTGTCGCCCTGCGCACACGCACACTCTCGCTGCACGAGCCGTCGCTCTGTCAACACGGGATTGATTCAAAAGGGAACGTCGAGGGGTAGGTGCCCATATACCCCCACTTGTCAAAATTAAGGATCACATTCGTACATTTGACAGACGAGCGCATTTCCGCACAACAGAATGACGGTATGTTAGGGATATATACTAGGTGAGTCAAATGAAAACAGGAAAAACGCTGTAGAAAATCGAAAACCGCACCCATTGCAATCAAACCCGGCACGCATACGAGTGGACTCTCGCGCCATCAATTGGCGTTGATCCCGCATCTCCACGTGACCCAGGGACGCCATACGGAAGTTTCCAATAATCCTCTGTTAGAACGCATCAAAGACGAGCAGCGTGAAGCGATCCATTTCCTACACAGTGAAAGCGCAAGAAACCAATAGAAATTCATCAATGTTTATTGGCACAGTATGCAGTTGCATGTATATCACAGACTCAAATGTACAAATGGTGTAAGAAATTCAGCAGCGGTACAACACGTTTGGCAGACGCGGCAGAGAGGCCAGGCCAGGCACATCGTGTTATGACAGCTGAGGCGATTGCAGCGCCAGAGGAGATAGTTCTGCAGGATAGACGGGTCACCATCGATGGCATTGCAAAGGAATCACAGGTAGTTATGGATCTGCTCAGCGTATGATGAATTGAAATACCGGAAAATGGCCGCAAGATGGGTCACACGTCGGCTGACGCCCGAAATGAAGAGGCGAGTCGATGCCTGCCAGGAGCTGCTGCCCCGCTAACGTGAAGATGACCAATTTCTGGCGCTCATGGTGATTCAAGACGAGTTCTGGATCCATCACTACCAACCAGAGGCAAAGCGCTCCAGTGGCAACAAATTCGCGACCCACTTGGAGGTGAAACATGCGGTGCATGAGTGCCTGCATGCACAGCCAAAATAAATTTTTCTCGAGGATTCCATGCCCTCCCGACTCGGTGGCGGAAATGCATTGACAAGAAGGGGGGACTACATTGAAAAATAGGGTACTTGTTGCAACACGGTAATACAGAAGCTGTTAAAAGAATTTCTGTTTTTATTTGATTCACCCTCGTAAGATTCTGTCGCGTTTTCACTTGCAGGCTCATCATATGTTCTCTTGCACGATTACATGCTCAGCACATGTTTCCGGCATGTACCTTAACCCAATTTCCTTTTGATCCCGTACATGATTTCCTCACATGTTATTCACAGGTTCCCGAAAGTTCTATTTCTAGATGTTCCTCCAAATGTATTCTCAAATGTTCCCCCAGAAGAATCCGCAAATGTTCTTCCTGATGTCCCCTCAAATGTTAGTATGGATGTCTATGTGCTAACTATTACCGAAAGGCAGGGACGCCGCTGGTAGGCCTTGGCTCTGCCAGAGGTTGTTGTGCCAGTACAGACAAACATGATTTTGAAATTGGTCAGTATTTAATATTTCAAAAGTAAAATGAAATACCTAAGACGTTTAATAAACAGGTTTTCTGGAAAGTGTTTGGATCATTTGTAATCACAATTTTCTCAAAGCAAGTTTCCAACATTTATGGATAGTTGTCTAACTTCCCTTGTGACTTTCTCTATGGACCCGACTCGTTTTGCACATCCGACAGCAGCTCCGGAAATGGAGTGGATTTCTGCTGTTGAAAAGACCCTATTTTATTAAGTAACAATTTCTTATTTCAACTATTTAGATATTGAAGAAATATATTTATCTTGAAGAAGAGATCAAGCCATAATAATGAAATATTGAGTGATATGAAAATAACAAATCCATTGTGACACATGTATTTTAATGTATAATTCTATGCGAAGTGTTACGAGACTTAATAATAAAATCTGTATTTAACATAATGAACATTTAATGCTTTACTTAATTGAAATTTACTGGCAATTCTATTATTATTGCTAATTCAGCGTAGAAGCAGGTCTGTGCCCGTCCACCCACCTGCGCGAGCGCGGTGTCGTCGGCGCTGGCGAGGCAGCGCAGCAGCGCGGGCAGCAGCGCCGAGTGCAGGTGCGGCTGCAGCAGCGGCGCGAAGAAGCGCGCGGCCACGGCGCGCAGCGTCTGCAGGCACTCGATGCGCAGCACGGGCGTGGCGTCGGCGCCGGGCGCCAGCCGCCGCAGGCACGCGGCCACCAGCCAGCAGGGCCGCGTGCGGGCCTCCCCTTCTCGCAGGCCCCGCGCCAGCGCCTCCCGCGCCGCCTCCACCTCGGCCTCCGCCTGCGGGGCCGCCAAAGAGTTGTGAGACTCGGGCCTTCTCTAAGATTACCTACAGGTCCATTTTTGAAACTAATTTTGGATATTGAAATAAGTGTTTGGGTACGGTTTCCAAACTTATGTGTTCAATAGAGTAATCAATTCATCATTGCTTCGGCTATGAGTAGACTTCATAATCTTTATCATTTATACAGGTGTCTCGAAATAAATGATACAACATTTTATGCCATACGAGGAATCAATGATGGTCACTTTTTGCGTGACTACGTCGTGAGAATTCTCTATAACGAATTTACTCATGTTATTTGACCCTGTGCGGAAGGCAACACATTTTGCACTGCTGTTAGACAGGTACAAGAAATCTTTGACAAACACTGATTCACGATAAGTTGCCAATCAAGGGGGAATGTCACATGAATAACTTCTTTATTTGAATTTCCCATCAAATATTGCTTGGCTTTAACTTAAAGCCTTAAAGAGATCAGATCATCTTGGAACCTCATACCTAACCTAGAAGTTTGTACCAATTATTGCGATAAGCTTCATTGATAAAGTTACTTGGGCAATGAAAAAAAGTGTTGAAATTACTTACATTTTAGTCATTATTAATACCAAATCAAATAAAAAGAACCACAAGACTCATTTTGCGATGTCACAAGGGGGAAATATAACTCGCCCTTTGTTATTATAACTTCAGATGCATTTAATTCCGATAATTTCATTTTCTCTTGTTCCTAAAAAGAAGTTACACTGAAGGGTGCCCTTCACCGAGGTCATCTCATACACAATGAACATGATGGGTTACCCAAATCCTGGTCATTTCACAAAGAATTAGAGTAATTTGCAAATGGTGCATGCTGCTGCATTCCAATAAAGGAAGAACACAGTCAAAACACATTGCACATACGGTCTTATCGAAAGTGAATAATTTGTACAACATTGTGAATTTACGGTGGGCTGTAATCTTATCGTTCGGAATATACGAAACGGTACCCGAATGTTTCCAATTTTTTAGAACCAAGAGGAACACGAAATTTTGAATATAAAACAATTCAATAAAGTAATATAAATTAAGGGGGAAAATAGTGAATTTATTAGAAAGCTTTCCCTTGAAACTGGACCCCTGCTGACCTGCGACTGCCCTGCAGGGACGTCGGACACGGGGTGGTCGGCGGGGACGTCGCTCTCCCCCTCCTCGTCTGGCGCCACCTCCTCCTCCCACTCTTCCTCGTCGTCCTCCCCGTTCTGGTTCTGGTCGGCGAAAGCGGCAGGACGCCACGTGTCGGGGAGGGCGTCAGGGCCTGCTGCAGGGCGCGGTAGGTAGCGAAGCGCCGCCAGAAGCTCAGACTCTGGTGCGTCCGCCGCCGCCACTGAGCGTAGCGCCGTGAAGCTCGCTACTTGCACTGCCGCGTCTTCAACACATACAAGGGGCCACGTCTCTCAGAACAGCAAACGAATAATAATAATAATAATAATAATAATAATAATAATAATAATAATAATAATAATAGGAAGAAATGTGGTGTGGTGAAGTGAAGTGTGGTTGAATTTGTAAAGTTTGTAGATGTTGTAAAGTTGTTAAGTTCTGTAATGTTACGTTAGTGTATTCTGCCACCGAGTTCTCAAACGTAATTGCAGAATTATTAATAAATCTAATCTAATATAAAATGTCCGCTACATTAAATAGATCGATTACAACTCGCAGAATGAAATAAAGATAATAAATAAATAAAAAATTAAATGACGGCAGAAAAGCATTCATTCTATTAATTTCAAGATATTATAAAAATGTTACGTTTATACTATAAAATTGCTTAATAAGAGCAAGTGATAACACATGTAGGCCTCCTACCTTTCATTTAAACAAAAATCACGGAATTTGGTTGAATACAAAGCTTGAACTTTTTTCTCATCGAAAACCCTTCGTGGATTAAATGTAAAGATGATTAATAATAATAAATACAGATGATGCATTTAAATAGCGCTGATCATGCGAAATATAGATTAAAGCGGCTCCACACATTCTGCATAGGGCGAAAAGTGACCGACAGTTCGGCGAATCCCGAGTAATGGGGATGGGTTGCTTGCTTTTGCCAAGCGCGACAAATTCGTTTCTCGCCTTGCCAGCAGAAACTCGATGTTTTGGGAACATGAAAGGAAGAAAACATTTGCCAAGCATCTCGGCTAGTCGGAAATGGGGCAGCAATCGCTAAAGGATTCGCCAAATTTCAAAAGTGCGGAGTCACTCTTATAAAAGGAAGCCCCGTGACATGGTCTCACTGTAATTTAATAGCGAAGCAATTATTAAATTAAATTACAAGTTGATATTAGAGGATATGATTTGGTCACGTCTGATCTCGGAAATGCCAAGTTTTAAGATGTTTGTGTTCGAAGAACTTTTGAGCTCCTGCCCCAGATTTTAAATCGCGCAGGGCAACCGTCGTCTTCGCCTGCTCTGGGCTCCGCCGGTGGTAAGTAAAACAGCACTTCTGAGAAAGGACTCACCGCGATGCTGCGTGAAAGGCCGCGCGTGGCGCGCGGCCGTGGCGGGGAGCCCGGGCACCAGGCGGCGGTAGGGGGCGTGCTGCGCCAGCTGCGCGAGGCAGCGCAGCAGCTGCGTGGCGGTGGCGGGGACCTCCTCGCGGAAGAGCGTGCCGCCCAGCTCGCGGTGAAGGTCGCGCAGCGCGCCGCCCAACGCCGTGGAGAAGGCCGTGAAGGGCGCATCGCCGTCGCCGCGGTCGCGATCGCGGTTCTCCGCCAGCCGCAGGAAGGGCCGCGCGCCCATCAGCGCCGCCGACAGCGCCGCCGCCGCCTCCGCGCGCACACGCGCAGACGGGTCCCGCGTCGCGGCGCGCGCCAGGGTGCCGTAGTTCACCTGCCAAACGACGGCGCATCACTTTAGTAGGAGCCAAATACACTTTATACCTACGGGACGTCGTTCCTTGATCTCCCAGATGTGGCTTGGAGTACATTCCAAGAGCCTCGTTGTATCATCTGTATACCTTGATCGTATCCTAATCCAGACCCTGACTGGACCGTGTCTGAGATCTACCTGGAATATGTCTGTGTGTGTGAATGAGGATTTCGTTCATTACATCCAAAACAATGGTATAAGCACAGATAGACCTTCGAGCTACATCAGGCTTAATATTTTTAGGTACAGGATGGAGTTGGATCTAAAGACTACCATGGCGTGACGTTCGGGGAGAATGAGGGGACTTCTCACTTCCCAGTGAAGTGGCAGTAACCGCGGGAGACCCTAATTGTCCCTCACGTTCTGATAGATGGCAGGAAGAGGCCTCGGCATAAACGGAAGGCAAACTTGATCAAAAAGAAAAGGAATTATCTATATATCGAAAAACATTAGCTCATGAACCACGCCTCGCAACATATTCGAATGGTTAGCACATCTCATCCACTTTATAAGATAAAATGACAATTTTCTTTTCTCCAGGTTGCTTTTACTATTAGCGCTTTTTCTATTCGAAATCGTAACGTTTAGTCACTAGTGTTACCTCTGACCACTGTTGTACGCTAACGCACTTCCCGAAATATCGACTGTAGGGTCTGTGCCATGCGAGGCTCTCAACTCAATACATTTCCAGAGACAAAGGATGCCCATTGCGCGACTAGAATACGCGGATCTCGCATCAATGACCCAATCTACACATCCACTAACAGGATTGTTCATCCACGCTGTATTTTCCTGAACGAAAGATGCATGAAATTATTAATTTAGACAATTCTGAAATCTATTTATTTCATTATAAGGAAGTGATGTAATATGTGAAAATATAAATTTTTATACTCACGTTTTAACAGGTGCTAGAACGTAAATATTAAAGAAAGTTTCAAAGTATTTTTAGATACGTTGAATTTTAAAATATATGTATCTTGTCTTTCGGAAAACCTCTTTACAATATTGTCGCAGTGTTTACCACATTTACGCGTTTTATTTTGAGAGAGTTTGTATCAAAAAGTCGAAAATAGATCCTCATTATCGCTTTTATATAGATAATCCGAGATACAAAGAGCTATACACATGGATCCCGTCTTGCTCTTTCGTAACAGGGTCTTGTTTTTGTATGCTGTAATCAGTGTGCAGTCATTAGCGTTGGGTAGTCGGTGTTTTGGGCCTATTAAAGAGGTGAATGGCGAAGAGCTTCAGCAACGAACAGCCGTGGGGCAAAGTTCAATTGCTGCTGAAGAAATGCATTAGACTAGGGAGCATACATTGTTAAAATTGACGTTTACAATGAATTTAATACCTATTTTATGGCTATATGGCTAAGCAGACACATTTAATTAGAAGATAATTAAAATCAGCAACCGTTACCACAACACAACTGCGATTAATGTCTCGAGTGTATTCAGAAACCGGCCGACCATCTAACTTGACGTACATCGCCACGATATTAACGCCTTCAAGTATTGGGAATAAGTGATTGCGTCGTTTAACATTTTTTGGGTAGGTATAACTTTTACGAGGTGTGGGATTGTAGATAGCTGTACTGCTGTGCTGAATGCAATGTTATTTAGGATGCTCTCAAAAACAAAGTCTCAGTGGGAAGAATATACAAACAAATGAAAAAAATCAAGTACTTACAATAAACTTTACCAGAGTTGTTACAAGGAAAGCACAAAAATCTAAAATTAAAGAATTATCTGAATTGTTCACCTATACACTATTTCTAGAGGTATATTAAAAGTGAGTGCGGAAAGAAAAGATTCTTGTAGAGTAAGCCAACAATTATATTGCCAGGAGGAATATGGTTGCGAATTAATATAAGTAGAACGAGTTAAGTGCCTATATATAAAACGAAATTTATACTTCAACTTGCGAAATAAATTAAACAAAAATAATTATTTTGTTATAAGCGTTTTCTAGAATAAATCAGAAATGTATAGAGGAATATACTGTAGGGGTCGTTGCGCGATTGATTGTAGAAACTACCGAATTGCGAGCATGTTACAAACCGCTGCTGGCGTCAAATACGCCAGTCACCCGCCGGGAGGGGCAGAGGTGGGGTACGCAACGCTCGCGGCGCGCGTGCGTGGCAGGGCTGTGCGGAGCGACGTGGGGTGAAGTAGATAGTGCTTGCGCAACGCGCGACCGGCCACCGCGCCGCGCCACAGCGCTGCCGCCCGCTGTCGCTGCCGCCTGCTGCTCCCCTCGCTTCCGCTGCGCCCCGCTGCGCCGCGCTGCGCCGCGCTGCGCCGCGCTGCGCTGAGTCTATCGCTCCCACGAGCGCGCGCCGCTGCGCTCCCGTGGCGCGCACCACGCATGT